GTTAGCGTAGCCAATGGCTACCACGTACCTTAAGAGTTCTTGAAAAGTGAAGAATTCGTTTATAGAAAACGCCAATCACTACATTTTATGAAATAGGCCTACAGTTTTTCAAGATTTCGTTTTCAAGTTCATCTTCCTTTATGATCTTAATGAGAATAAACAGGGTGATAATGGTAAAATTAAAGATGATGATGATGGTTGCAGCAACTGATGATCAGGCAGTAAATGCCATGTAGATTAGTACGGAACAATATTAATTATTGGTCGCTAGTAGATTAGTACAATATATTTTGCAAATGATGGTACTAGATATCTAGTCATACAATGGCTCATGACAAGCTGCGGCATTAAAAAACAGCAGAACACGTCGTGGTGTCCTACATTCTGAACTGTTGGCATAGCATGACCACCAGTTCTGTGTTTATTTATAGAAATGTGTCTAATGGAGCGACAGTGGAACATACTAGCAACATAACAATAAGACACTGACGGTATTTATTCTGATTATTTATGGGGTTAACTTCTCGGTTTCACATGATTAACCAAGGATTACAGATACGATAATTAGTGCCTTGCAATTGAAGGCACGTTTTATTGCCATAGTGCAACAAAATCGTGTAACGTCTGTTCCAACAAAGTTTATAAAAAAACAAGAATATATATGTTGTGATGAAGTAATCTATACTGTGTGTGTTGTTTGCTCATGCCATGAACAGGAAAATGATATTCACCGAGATATTCACGTAGTTTAAACCAACAGCTGTCTCGTATCTCCTATTAAAAATCAACGTATTAGTAACTTCACTACGTTTTGGCAATCAGAGTATAAACTCTGCATAGTCAATGAGCTGGCCTATACTTTTGTGACAATTTCACGATACATGAAAGCCAGTTCCATCCTTTTAGTTACAGGGCTGCAATCATGTTAAAGCTACTTTTTATTTATAATTTTGGACGAATATTTATCTGGATTAGTAACTCAAAGGAGCATATTCTTTACATGAGAGCAATAAATTACTGTAGACTTAGTCCTCAAGCCTTCAGGACGATCGTCAGTGCGATGCTCACAAACTTCTCGAATTCGAAAAGTTGTGGTTATTCTCATGTTTTCCTGTATCTTCAATAAAGCAAAACCACCAATGTTAGTTTATTCAGCTGGACTAGGTCGTAGTTCGATCCCCGGCAGCTGCAGTGTAATACTCATATCCAGTGCACATTGCCCATTTGACACATTTGGTGCGATTGATCTTACAGAGGGGAGAAATCTATCATTTTGACACAATTTGATAAAATCCTGCAATTTCGAAAATGTTCTTCTTGATGCGTTTTATACGTGTGCTGAAAACAAACAGTTAGAAGGCTACATTGCGGGGCCAGATCTTTTGTTTGCGTGTGGAATTCAATAAGTCATACAGTTATTTGAAGAAGCCAAGCAGAAGCTAATTTGATATAAAGTGATGGCATGAATAGAGCCACTTCAAATGTATCAAATTATAAATATAAGGGGCAATGGGGAGTGGATATGAATCTCTTCACCTTGCAGTCTAATTATGTTAATTCGGCTCCCTTAAAAAAAAATGCTATTTCATCGTGTATCCTCGTATTTTTTTAAAATTTGGGGGTGTGGTGTCCTAAAGGGACCAGGCTACAGCTGACATTCAGGCTAAAAACAGAAATCTCCCCAAACGATTAATATTGTGTGTATGTATAAGGGCATAAAACTTAAGCTTGGCCAAAAAGCGTAATAACAGTTTCAGGAATGTTCGAAGTGACTTTAGTGCTGTCACGCTGATTTGTTGTCAAGTAAAAATACGAACAGTTACAATTCATTAACAAAACATAAACTCAAGACAGGCTGTGATGAATTCATCCGTCTTTTGTTCAGGGATGAAGAACGTAAGTGCTAAAGATGCAGCGGGACTTCCCATTCCCGGTAAATGCGTGAACATTGGGAAAGTCCGTCTTCTTAGACGCCATTGTAAACAAGTGAGGTTTCCGTTCACTAGCGGTGCGCACTGTTCCACACATTTGAAATTCTGGAGTGTACAACAACGAAAGCGGAATAGAGAAACAATTACTCCCCGGGGCAGTGCCACTGACTGTAGTGCCTTTAGCCCATTTCCAAAGGGGCGACATTTCTCGTTCAAGCATAGTAGAATTGTAAATGGGCTGACTCATGTCACGCTCATAACTGTGCCTGATCTACAACAGGGAACTGCTGCGTTTTCTTTCCTGATCCTTACTATTGTCATTTTCCTCTACTTCTTTTGTATGTTTGTCACTCTCTTGTGACCTGCTATTTCCGGGGTGCCTTGATAGTCGAAGCAGACCGTGTGCTGTTGAAGCTAGAGAGGTGAGCAGTCGAAGTCTGATTCTCTGTAAAAACTTCTCTGTTGATACCCACCCCTTGGCGCTCATATGACCTTAGGCAGTTGCGAGCACCGTAAAACCCTCTACTATAAAAAAGAGAATCAATCTTTACATATATTATATATTTGGCAACTTGGAAACACATGTGTCACTTTCCCCATAAAACTACGACAGCTACAGAGTTGAAAGTTGGCAAGTACCTGCAAAAAGATAGAAAAGTTCCGATGATGGAGTCCATTTTTTAATTCTTCTTTGGCCTTTGTGATTATTCCACTGAGAAACGAAACAAATCTGCGTAGCTGTACGCCAAAACGAAAGTGCCGGAAGTGATATTTCGTGAGGCGCATTTTGTTTTTAGAGTATAGATCAAGACCTGCCTCATATCGCTTAGTGACTACGCAAAATACCGTCGGGAAGCTGCTGGAAAAAATCGTGGCTCGCAGATTGGCAATAGAGCTGGAGGAAAAGAACGTCCTACTGCCGGAACTGGGCAGCTATAGAAGAGGAAATATCACATGGATGAATGCTGCCACTCTTGCTTCCGACGCATATGATGGCTTCGAATGGGGGGAAGAAACTCTAGAAGCAGCACTTGACCTGGAAGATGTCTACAACAGAGTTCAGTACGACACCCTCATGAGGACTCTAGTCAACGTGAGGGTGTATCCACATTTAGTGCTATGGATTGGGGCAGCGCTGCTCAAACGAAAGGTAGCACTACGTCTTGGTTGCTGGGCTTCGCAACCTACCGAGATCACACCAGGCTTACCACAGGGATCTGCAGTCTCGCCAGTTCTGTTCAACGTTTATACAATAGGGATAACATCCAACCAGCTGGAGGAGCCCGGTCGTGTACTCAGTTTTGTTGATGATGTACTGGTGTACAGTCAGGGCAGGAACCGCCAGGTTACAGCGGAGAGAGTACAGGAAGAACTCGACAGACTTGAACTGTGGTGTAAAGCAAACAACGGGAAGCTGCACCCAGACAAATCCTGTACACTGTCGTGTACACTAAATATCCATGCAGTGCACGATGACAAGCCAAGTATCTCGATTGGAGGCAAAGTGCTGAAGAGGGAATCCACACTGAAGTACTTGGGCATCACGTTTGATCGCACCCTCTCTGGCAAAGATCACATCGCGAGAACAATCTCCAGGGCGAGAAAAGGCCTAACAGCCCTTAAGATGATGGCCAGAGCTATGATAAGCCAGAAAATCCTTGTCATTCTCTACCAGACACTTGTACTCTCTGTCGTAGAGTACGGGCTCGGACTCTTAACTCTATCAAAGGTGCAACTGCAACGACTCGAGGTGTTACAAAATGAAGGAATGAGGGCAATCCTGGGGTGCACACGAGACAACTCAACTGAAGCAATGAGATACTTCCTAGACTTCCCATGTGCAGACGAGAGGCACAAACTGGCATAAGTCCAAGGCTTTCTGTGAGTCAGCGCAGACGAGATGAACCCTCTACATAAGAAAGTGGGACGGCAGATGACATCAAGGTTAAAGAGGGGCACAGAATGGATGACTCAAGCCACGAACACCACCAACGAGTGTTGCCAGATACAAGACATCAGAAGAGGAAGGGATTGGGTTCTGGTCGAAGATGCTCTCGGAGAGTACACAACAGTGAAGTCAACATTGGGTAAATGAAATTGAAACCCTGATAGAAGAGCATAGCGAAAATGTAGATTCTGTGATCTTCACGCATGGATCAGTCAACAGAGGAGTCAAATCGGGCTGGGTCTTCAGTGTCAGAGTTGATGGGGTAGTAGTGAAAGAGCAAAGTGGAGCAACTGCACTGACAACATCAAGTATGTGTATGGAGATAAAAGCCATAAGTGAGGCTCTACACTGGATCAAGAATTAAAGCCATCAGCGAGCAGTAATCATTACTGACTCAATGAGCACACTACAGAAGATACAGAAAGGGATGTTATGTGAGGACTGGAAGGCTACGATCAGGGAGAGCAGCCTGGAAGGAGTGGCCTGGATCTTCTGCCTGGGCCACGCGGTAACCGGCAACGGGAGAGCAGACAAGCTGGCTGGAGAAGCAAAAGTGGGAGGGAATTTGACACTGGACCCACCAACCGTCCCAACCGCTGTTAGGGAAAATTTGAGGAAGAATAGGGCGGAGAGCGGTTCCCACACTCCAGGTAGATTAAAGAAGAAGGGGATCCAAAGAGGAGAGGGGAAACACAGCCATCTGTGCGGACCAGTCCGACGAATCTCCAACCAGATTATGATGGAGACTATAAGTAGACAGACTCTTGGATGGATCCTGAAGAGGGGGGGGGGGGCAGAGATGGACATGTTCCGACTGCAGTGACCCCAACACAGTGGACAAGTAAGACAAGTAAGTAAGTAAGATCAAGACCTTCTAATTTTTTGCATCTCTCATGATTTATTGCTCCATTTCAGTACAGTTGAAGTACAGTGTAAATATAGTGGGCCAATGACTTTCCAGTTGATGTTAATGCAGCGATTAATTTCCTTTCATAGAAAGGGGGCCCAGTTAGTATAACAGTAAAAGTGAAAAGCCTTTATTCACGCATTTACCAGGAATGGGAAATCCCGCTGCATCTTTAGCACTTACGTGCTTCATCCCTGAACAAAAGACGGACGAATTCATCACAGCAGCGACTTCTTCCTTCCTTCCAGTTTCCTATTAAGTTATTAGTATTAGTCACAGGATGCTTTTTTCTGGAATGAGATGTAACACCAGTGTCTAAATTATCACCTGGTGTTGACCATCAAGGAGTATTCAATGCGTATGGTGTTTTTAAACATATTTTCCTTTGCTTTTTGAATGCAGTTGTTTTCCGTCCTCCTCGACACCATTAAATTAGTGGAGGAGTTCCTCCGGCACTTATCGTGACAAGTGTCACAAGGTCAACTAAGCATATTATTCAAGAGTTGGTGCACTTAGACTAGATCTACTTAGAGAATCCAAATGATGAATAACATTTTGATAAATTTGACGATTAGGCGAGCTAACCTTAAGAGCAAAGCACATGTGACAGCTCCAGTCGAGGACAAATTTGACTTGTGTAGAATCCGTCATTACCTTCTTCTGTCGACTATTGAGAATATCGGTCTTCCGTTTTGGAAGGAGAGAGTGGGGGGTGCAAAAAAACCAAAATGCCAACAAAGGGGGGGGGGGTGAGGGGGCTAATCGCCTCACCACAGACGCCAGTGTAAAGTGATAGTTGGTATAAAACTACACCTTTAATTGAAGTATTTATATTTATAGTAACAGCTGCACTGTACGTAATTTGAAAAAAAATAATGGACAGAGTATCATTTTGGGACATTAAGACACGAAACGTAATGAAGAAGTTCTTAATATCCCACAAAATTCAAGACCTCAATTTAAAAAGAAAAAAAAATAAGCTCTGCTAAATCTACCAAATGGGTTTCAGCTGTACTTGTAGGCCCACTCCTCTTCATTTATGGTACGCTTTTAAAAATGAAGAATGGTTTGAAAAGAACCCGTTGTCGCTTTTGTTGATGTTACTGAATACGATCTTTTTGAAAAACTCCGTGAAAGAATTGATTCGCTTGTGCGGGTCTAGTATTCCGCCAAGTTCGGCTCAAGCTAATGCGTCACTTTGCAAGACTTTTGTACCCAATAGTTTTTAATGCTTTCACCAACAACTTTCTTGCCAAATTTAATTTCAATTTTAGTAGGAGTTTTATTTTAAGGCTCTTGCAACTCAAGTAAATAATATAATTGCTGAAGATTAGAGGCGTTACTAGAGAACAAAAAATTGTTGTTTTTTTACCAACCCCTGATGGCTCAAGTGTTTTCTACAATACTTAATGATGACGTTGTACGAATAAGCAACGACTTTAACAATTAATACAAAATTTGAAATACGTCTTTATAATTGTAACCTAGTATTACCCTCTCAAAGTGAAAATGTTTACTTTATTCCTTTCCTGTTTAAACATTTATTCCAGTCTATCGAGTGATCGTAGGTTCAATACAGAAGAACACCGCATATCACCGTGTTATCCATACCCGTCTTTCCATACAAGCAATTAATTAATTTTCAGAAAAAGAAAAGAAAGAGACAGACGCAACATGAACAGCCACGCTCCTCATCACCAGTCTGCTGGCTCCGGGCGAAGACCTCACGACTGTAGGATTGCGATGAAATTTCATCCTGTGGATGTGACCAAGATTCCTGTGTGTCCTGCTTCGAAGCAGTCTTCTACAAAGCCGCCATTCTGTGGCTGTCCCAACGACTTGGAAACTAAATGCTGGAAGTGCTGTATGCCTGGTGTCATCGAGACCCGACTGTTGAGGCAGCCAGTCGAGTGTGTGAAGCCAAGATGTAACTACAGCATCCCCTCCATACCTTGCTACGACCCACCCAGACAGTAAGTAGGAGCATTTTTTAAGATCTTATTATGCCCAATATTTGTCAAATATGTTGTGTTCCAATTGTATGGGAGTGGTTGAGTGGTCTTACATTGGGTAAAAAACCACATATTTGGAAAATGACCTATTGGTTTGTAGTGTCACGTTTATATCATTAAGAGAAATATTGAAATTGGATGTCAATCAAATCATTCAAGTTATATCTCTGATACTTGTGTCGGTAAAGTATAAAAATGTAACTGGAAAGACTCACAAAATAGAATCATCTATAGTCGTTTCTCCGTTGTTCAGCTTCATGCTACTGTATTTGCTCTTTCTGTATGAACACTTTTTGAAATTGTACATGCATTGATTTAATAGTTTTAAAGCCTAATGGTAAAATTTAAAAACTGTAAAATATTTAAGCATAGTTTTGGTCAACGCGTCAGGTTACCTTTTACTTCTTCGACCTCAGCGTTGCTGATAGGTGCGACCCGCTCTGCTTTGAATGGACGGTTGATGAGCCTGGTCCTAACGACAGTTACGGTTTGAACGGCCTCAACTGGTACGACTGGCAGATGGAAAGACGCTTTAGTAACACGCCGTTATTGGAATCAAAGACCTTTGGCTACAAACCAGCACACCCGGGTAAAACATTATGAATGAGGTTTATTTTAACAATGCTATTTCAGTATCTCGTTTGAATTACATTTTCCTTAACAATGTAGCTGAGCTTCCTGGTTTACAGTTCGCACGGAGTAGGGTCTACTCCTGGCAATGTTTCATCTTATTGTTTGTGTTCCTCAAAAAGATGGTTTTACTCGGGTTTCAGTAATTTGTCTCTATGCTCTATGCCGATTTAATATAGGCTACGATTTTTTGGGAGGAATGAATTATATTCTTTCGCCCATTGATTCTAAAAGTGCCCCGATTTTTTAAACAGAATTCAATAATAGCTGCATTCTTAAAACTGCTGCTGAATAGGTCTGTTTACAAAGGCTTCGTTGGCAATTGCCTGTGTACTAAATTAGTGTTTCTGAACATACCACAGCATTCTGCAGCCGATTAAGTACCTAAGATAACCTCTCAAAGCATAATTTACTTGAAACTATATTTGATTTGAAAGGGGAGGGGGAGGGGGGGTTAATGCTGAGCAAGGGAGACAGAGACAGAGAGAAAGAGAAACAGAAAGAGAAAGACAGACAGACAAACAGACAAACAGACAGACAGACAGACTCTTGTTCCTTCTATCTATCACTGTCTCTGTATGCGTGTGTTTCTGTGTTTGTATTATATGTATACATTAAATATATATACATAATA